TTTTTTTGATAGTGAGTATTCGGTGTCCAAAAGTCAGTCTTTGCTAAATTTACTATATAGGATCCGAATGTTCTAAAAATTTGGGTTTTATAGTTTCAGACTACTTTGACCTTTCGAATGCACATAAAAAATCAATCAGTTAATTTTTCTCTAGTGCCTTGGTTTCTTGATGCCCTCATGGATCATCTCTTAATGTATTCTATACTTTATACCAAGTGACTGAACTAGCAGAGATTTATTCAATCTGTTTGGAGATAAATCTAAAATAATTTTCAAAATGTTTCTCTACAAATTGACTGAGAAAAGCGATTTTTGAAAAGTTTGCTCATTTTCCTAGAAAATAATAACGAGAAGATTCAAAATTTTTTCGATCGTTTGGTTACTTGAACAAGCTCTTTCTTATGCAGGACGCATCGGATCTCTAACTGTATCCTTTCGCCTTCTAGAAAAGGTTTTGTGTTTCTTTAGATAAAAAAGAAAAAATGTTTGTAAAAGTATTCTTATCACGGACGAGCAAGAGAGAGATAAACATTGTATTCACGAGTAATATATTTAAATAGTGTCTGTTAGGCGCTAAACAGAACGCCTTATTCATTTTTTCTTTCTTTTCTTCCTCATAAAATTCATTCTTTGTACGAAAAGTCATGAGAAATCATAGATTTTTTTGCCTTCAACCTCTCTATCTCAATGAACTAAAATTTTCTGGAACAATTCAAAAACGTAATTGTACAAAAAATTTACGATTCACTCACGTATGTTAGCATGTATAATCGAATTGTATACTACGAAATACGTTATATTAAGTTTTCATTTGAAAAGAATAAATAAAATCGATTTTGATCTCATGAAGTGTCTATTATTTCATCCATCAAGCACATTAACAAAATTAGCCCTAAAAAAATTCCATATTACATGATCTTGAATACGGTTTAAGAGTTCTTTTGAGAGCAGTTGATCTGAATTCATGAACTTGACCTGGTATAGACTTATGAATATCTAATGCGAAGAACAGATTTTTCTAATTTTGACATTAAAATATTTTTGGGTTTTACTTTCTTTTCTATGATGTTAATCATATAATAAATGTAATATTGATTCAATCTGCCTAATCATGACCACGATAGTAATAAGAACGACATTTTTAAATAGACAAACAAGAAGATTGAATACTTTTGTATATACAGAATTATTTCTCTTCTACAGCTCACATTCAAATAACACAACGCGTACGATCAAAATCACTTCATCTGTCTGCACATAACATGAACAAGAGACAAGTTTCCAATCTTTTCAATGATATGTCTACAATCCTACAAAATCATAATACTTTGGACGGTAGACAACGAATCATTCAAAATTTCATTCTCGTTTGGTTAGACCCAAATATCAATGAATCAAACGATAATTTTCATCGCTCTAAAACTCAACTACAACGTATTATCAATACAATCGAAACATTCATTGATTTTGATCAATGCATTGACTTTCTTACTGATGTTCAAGATGAAAAGGTATTCATGATTGTCTCCGAAACTGTTGCTCAACATATTCTATGTTTTATTCATAACATTGATCAACTATATGCCGTTTATATCTTTTGTGATAATAAAATTGATGATGAACGATGGATACAAGAATGGTGGAAAGTAAAAGGTATTTACACACAAATTAAATCCATTTGTGAAGTTCTTCCACATGCGATTAAACAATGTGATCAAAACTCTATTTCAATTAGCTTTATTCCCATCGAGGAAGATGTATCAGATAAAAATTTAGATCAACTCGATCCAACATTTATGTATACACAAATACTTAAAGAAATTCTTTTTGAAACTCAATACAACGAACAATCTATCAAAGATTTCACTACTTACTGTCGAAATATTAATTGTACTGAAATGAATACTATCAATAGATTCGAACGAGAATATCATTCTCATACATCCATCTGGTGGTATACAAGCGAAAATTATCTCTATTCTATGCTCAATCGCGCTCTTCGCACTCTAGAAACGGATGCAATCATAAAACTTGGATTTTTCATTAGTGATCTTCATAAATATATCAAACAATTACATTCGAAACAATTTAATGCTAGTTCATCACCATCATTTACTGTTTATCGAGGACAAGCCTTATCAAAAGTGGAATT